GGGAGGGTTGGTGAGGGGAAGGCTGCATTTCCAGAAGTGCTATTGGGTAAGACCCAGAAAAGCACCAATGTGTGACTATGGCTAGGCATTTTTTTTTTTTTAACCTTTAAATCTGATGTAATCTCACACATCCAGCCTATAGATTGTGGAATGCCAACTGCTAGCCTTTCAGAGGTGTCCATATTCTAATCCCAGAGCTTTCAATATGTTAAGTGACAATCTTCAGGTGTTAAGATAGATTATCCTGAATCATTTGGAGGTTAGTATAAACACAAAGATCTTTAAGGTGGGAGGTGGAGGCAGAAGAGACCCAGAGAGCTGGTGTTTGAGAGAACAAATTGGCTACGACTTGGCTCAGTGTGACTTGTTTTGCAGATGAAGGAAGGGGCCACTCGGCGAGGAGTGCAGGCAGCCTCTAGAAACTGGAAAAGGTGAGGAAATGGACTCTTCCTCAGACTGAAGGCTGACTTTGTCTCTTGATTTTGATTGTACTCATTCACTTTAGATTTTTGAAAATTAGAATTAGAAAGTCATAATGTGGTGGAAGCCACTAATTTATGATGTGAGTAACAAGAAACTGTCTAGGAACAGACAGGTTCCTCATGAGAAGATTTCATGGAAGTCAGCTGGGATTTAAAGTAAGAGGCAATAAGTAAAGTCAGGAGACCATAACCAGGAATGAGAATGGTGGTCAGAGCTGTGTGGAGGATCAGAGGAAGAGCAGGAGGAGAGACTGAGGACATGGACATGGGTATATGACAACTAAGAGCATGTTTCTCTCTCTCCTAAATAGTCTTCTTGATATTAGACTATTTTAACAAGTATCATAAGCAAAGATGGAAGAGTAATGTTAACCTGAAAATTTAGTGTAATAGAGACAAGGGCTCAGTCTATGAGTCTCAATCCAGTGTTCTTTCTAATGTGTGCTTCTGCCTCTCAGTAAAATAATAAATAAGCAAGCAAGCAGGCACCAGTAGCTCATGCCTTTAATCCTAACTACTTAGGAGGCTGAGATCTGAGGGTTGTGTGGTTTGCAGCCAGCCAACTCTGTGAGACTCTGTATTTCCAATTAACCAGCAAAAAGATTAAAGTGGAGTTGTGGCTCAAGTAGCAGAGTGCCAGCTTGAACAACAAAGCTAAGGGACAGGACACAGGTCCTGAGTTCAAGCCCCAGCCCCAGTACTAACACCTCTTTCCTCTCTCTCTCTCTCTCTCTCTCTCTCTCTCTCTCTCTCTCTCTCTGCTGTTGACTTTGACATCACTTTCCCCAATGCTAAGCGCAGTGTGCTATAGTCATACTTGGTTATTATTATACAGGAGCCCAAAGGGTTTTGGCTTTCATTTTGCATTGCTGGGGACTGAACCGAGGGGTCTGTGTATGCTAGGCAAGCACTCTTAACAGAGCTAAATTCCCAGCTCTGAGCTCTAGCTCATTCCAGGAGGCCAGATACTTTCCTTCCCCCAGCTTCCGTTTTCTCAGCTGTGTGAGCAGGAGGCAATGACTTCTTCATTTGCAAGTGATCAACGACTAGGACACACAGTTGACCTTGAAATGGGACCTTTAAAAAAGCCCTTCATGGGCTGGGTGTGGGTGGCTCACGACTGTAATCTTAGCTACTTAGGAGACTGAGATCTGAGGATTGCAGTTCAAAGTCAGCCGGGCAGGAAAGACTCGTGAGACTCGTATCTCCAATAAACCACTCAGAAAACCGGAAGTGGTGCTGTGGCTCTAGTGGTAGAGCACCCGCCTTGAGCTGAAGAGAGGGACAGAGCCCAGGCCCAGAGTTCAAGCCCCATGACTGACAAAAAAAAAAGCAAAAGCCCTTCATTTTTCTTGCTCTATGTACACTATTCAAAAAAAGTCTCAGAAAAACCAACAAGCCTTTGACTATGCAAATCAAATATGAAAGGTGTTATTTCACTTCTTTCCTAAAAGTACATAGGATGGAAATATTGCATTTTGGATAAGAAATGGTTCTGCTACCCCATTGTAGCATTTAAATGAAACCTTTCAGGGATACCAGCATAGCTCTGATGCCAAAGGGAAAAAAATTCGATTTTATAGGAAAGAGCTAAAGTCATTACTTTTATGAAGCTTTATAAATGTCATTCAAACACACCATCTTATTTTCATTTGCTACTGAAGCCTTTACTTATGCAAATCATGAGCAATGTTAAGGAAACCAGCCTTCTCCTGGCATGCTAATATAACCACACAGAAGGGAGGAAGAATTACTTCTGGAGGAAAAAATCTATATTGCAGCTCCTCAAGTCAGATAAAAATGAAGCTTCCAGAAAAACCTCATTAATTAGGGCTGTGCTCATTTAGATATTGTGTTAAAAAGCAAAGGAACTGGAATGCATTTCTTTCTCTTATAGGGGAGGGTAAATTAATGGCATAAACACAATTTCAGAGGAATGCTATTTCTTGACTGATTATGTAAAACATTTGGCTTCCAAGCATCTTATGGTACTTTGTAATTATTAATTTTATTTATCAATTTATTTCTTCAGTCTTTAGCTTAGACGTTCATTCATATATTCATTTGTTCCATCACATTTTTGCTCATGTATTCATTCAATAACCATTAAGCAGCTGCCATATGCAAACTGCTGTGGTAAGCATTGCAGGAAGAAGAAAGATAAACTGGTCTTGAATTTTGTTCTCCGGTAGTTCAGAGTGTGAGAGGGAAGATAAGTGTTGAAGATAGTGACACAACAATGGTGACCCCCTTCTCTCTCGGATACCTTTAGCATCTAAAAGTGACAGATGGTACATTAAAAAAAAGTACCAGCAATGAATCCCCTTCATGAACAAGACACTTCTGAGGGATTCCTACAAGCTGAGAAAGAAGATGGATTTGGATGAAAGGAAGAGTTCCTAGCCAAGAAGGCACACCACAAAATATGACAGCATCCCATGCTCTGAAGGGAGGGGTGTCAGGAAGGAGATGGGCAATGGAGCAGCTGAACAACAGTCCATGATTGGCTAGGACACAGCAGAGAGTGCCTAGCATGGCTAGTACTAGGGCTTGAACTTGGGGCCAAGGCACTCTCCCTTAGCTTTGTCACCGAGGGCTGGCACTCTACCTCCTGAGCATCAGCTATGTCTGTTATTTTGTCAGGTAATTGGAGATAAGAATCTGATGGATTTATCTGTCTGGGCTAGCCCAAACTGGATTCAAGCCTCCATCCTTGGATTGCAGCCTCATGAGTAGCTAGAATTGTAGGCATATACCTTCAGCACCTGGCCTAGAATAATTTTTTTCTCTTATAGCAGAGTAGGAATTTATAATCCTCAGGTATCCTTTGCAAAATGTGGTTGAGGCCAGCAGCGGTGTCCCTGAGTTACCAAGTTTCCTGGCTGAGAGGAGAACTTCTCTGGGCCTGAGCTACAACCAGAATGCCTCAAGAAACAGCTAGAAACCTTCTAGATGCCTCAAGCCATCTAGAAACTGTGCACAGTACCTTGCAGGTGTCACTCCATTGCCCAGGGCCGTTTTCATTGATGGCTCTCACTTTAAACAGATACTCGGTGTTGGGAGTCAGGTTGTGGAGCTCCAGATTCTGCTGCATTATGTCCCGAATTTGTCCACAGAGCTCTGTCCGCACATTGTTAGGAGGTGAAGTGACCAGTTCGTAGAACTCCATCTCAAATGAGTCCACATCTTCTGTTGGGCATGTCCAGTAAACCTTGGAGGAGGAATGGGGAACGAACACATGGCCCAGGCAGTACAAACCACTCTTTCCTTTTTTGTTGCTGATTTCTATGGGGTGAGTTTAAGCTGACCCCCAGCCTCATAGCTACAGAAGGTTTTGAATGAAACCATGTGTAGCCATCTTGGAAGGCTGGGAGAAAGCCTGCCATGACTCTTGTAATGGATGTGGGAGGGTAGACTCAGTGCTTCTCTGGGTTCTGTTACTGTTACTCACTGTGGAAGTGGTAATTTTCTAGACACTGCTAAAGAAGAAGCTACCACAATCGTAACATCTTATGCAACAGATTCCCTATCACCTGGAAGACAGATGCTGTGATCCCATTTTACAGGCTCAGAAAAGATGCGCTTAGCAAATTCCAGAATACTTGAAGGTGAAAAGTTTATTCCAATCTTCTAGGCTACACACAAGGAACTATCCAGACAGGTGCAACCATTTATCCCATACCGGAGGATATATGTCCACACTGAAAACATAAAGTGAGGGGAGGGGTGGAATTGGGACCCATGAGGGAGAATTATGAATGGGAGTGACATTGATCAAGGTACATTACACTCACAAACTGCCATGTTGATTTGAAACCCCTTTATACACTATTTAAAGATGATATAAAAAATAAAACCCCATTCCTTGGAAAAGATAGATTAGCAGTTCTCAAGTAACAGGTAATTTTTGTCATATGCATATTTTATAGTGATTGTATTTTAAAAACCAGATATCTAATGAGTATATTAAAATTTTACTAAATTTGAATGTTATGAGAGAAAATAAATTTATAATTTTATGAGGACCAAATTCTACAAATAAATGTACAAGACTTAATAAAGTAAACTTATTTTTTTCTGTCAAAACAATATTCATACAACATACATTATAAATGTTCTTAGAAAAAATAGAAAACAAGAGAAGAAAATAAACATCACTCAATCCTACGATCTAGTTAAGTCATTGTTATTTCTTTTCAATTTTAGAGTATACATAAATAAATAAAATTTGGATTCTATTCAATTCTTTCTCTCTCCCATTGTATTTTATATTTTTCCTACATCATTAAAAATTCACTAATACTTCATCTTTTAAAACTGCCCCATAAATAATTTAATCCTTCTGTGGTTGAATACTTGGGTTGTTTCTAATTTTGTGGTATAATAAATAAGTACCACTGTGTACACTTTTGGATATGAATCTTCATCTGAATTTTTAATCATTAGGAAGGGATTTCTTGAAAAAATTGAATTAAAAATCTCTAGGATTTTTACAACACCTATTAACAGTTTATATGACTAAAGTATTTTCTCTGTCGACTCCTGACTATTGAGAGTGATGTAAGCTTAGACTTAATAATTTGCATTTCTGAGAGCTAGGATTCCTTGGTGAAGTACATTCACTTGTGATACTTTCACATCAAATATCATTGTTGGGCAGTAGAATAGCTGTTCTCTCTTGATTGTCAATGGCTTAACTGGGTTATTATGTTGGCTGGTTTTCTAAGCTCCACCAGGGATGATTACTGGTGGAGCTCAGTATAGAACAGACCCCACTAACTCGGGTGTGTGTGTGTGTGTGTGCGTGCGCGTGCGCGTGTGTTTGTGTGTGTTTGTGTGTACATGTACTATGGCTTGGACTCAAGGTCTTATACTCTTGTTTGTTTTCACTCAAGGTTGATCCTCTACTACTTAAGCCATATCTCTACTTCTGGATTTTCTTTTTTGTTGATCATGGGGCTTGAACTCTGGGCCTGCTCCCTCAGCGCTTTAGCTCAAGACGAGCGCTCTACCACTTGAGCTACAGTGCCACTTCTGGTTTTCTGGTGGTTTTTATTGGAGATGAGTTTCATGGACTTTACTGCCCAGGCTGGCTTTGAACCATGATCCTCAGATCTCAGCCTCCTGAGTAGCTAGGATTACAGGCGTGAGCCACCGGTGCCCTGCTACTTCTGGCTTTTTAATGGTGGTTATATATAAGAATCATACAAACTTTTCTGCCTGGGCTGGCTTTGAACCATGATTCTTAGATCTCAGCTTCCTGAATAGTTTGGATTATAGGTATGTGCCACTAGTATCTAGTGGACAGCTCTAACTTTTTCACCATAGCACAATCTCATCAACGCCAAGTGACATGGAGACAAGATTCACTGTCACCACTGAACTGATGTAGCCTGTGCTGTAGGCCTTGTGGATTTCACCTCATTTAAAATGGAGCACAACTGCTCATCTTTTCTTATGGGAATACTCCATTGTGTCTGTTAACCTCCAAAAGGTGCAGTGTCTACCTTGAACAGTGTGGTCATCCTTGGTTATAGACTCCAAAACATAGATGGCGATGTCTCAGGGACTGGGCAGGCAAAGCTTGGTCTGTGTCTGGTCTTGGTATACTAAAGTGCTGTTAGTAGTCAGTGGCATTGGCACCTAGCTGTTCTTGCATCACAGAATCTCAGGCCCTGCCCTCACCTACTGGAACTGAATCTGCATTTTACCTTACTAATGATGTTTGAGACCCACTAGTTTAAGACTTCAAGGATGCTGACTGTCTTTGGGAGTATTCTCAGACTATGTGATCAAAAGGAGATCTGCCACATGGAAGCAGGCCATATGCTTGCCTGGGATGGGAGTCTGTGGAAAACCACAAGAGGAGATGAGACAGGCTCTAAAGCAATATCTGGTTGTACATTAATTCTTTTGCCTATGAACTTGAAAAACAAATGGACAATAGGCAATTCAATTTAGGATCAACTAGACTTGAAAGATAACATTCACAGTAAGAGCATTCTTTGTCTATGTTAGATGAAGAAGGTCAGCAGAGCTGAGGATGTAACTCAGTGATAGTGTTCACTGAGCATGTGCCAGGTCCTGGGTTCCGTCTCCAGCACCACTAAATAGGGAAGGTCAACTAGAAGTCATGTCTCCTAAGACCTGATAGTAATAGTTGTAGAGAGCTACAAGAGACTACGCTCTCTACTCTCTTGCTAAAAAAAAAGAAAAGAAAAGAAAAGAAAAAGGTGACTCTCTGCAGAGTTGGAGTTCTGTTGGGAATTATTCTTCCAGTCTTTGTGAACGATGGAAGGTCTGGATATTTTCTATAGGAGAAGGAGCAATCTGAATGAATCAATAGTTGATTGGTTGAAGTCTTAAGGACATATAATGCAAGGAATGCAGCTATAGCTGAGAGTAAGGCCCAAAGGTCTGTGGATACTAACCCTGCATTTCTAACTCCGATTTCTACAGTCTTTCTATTATCTCATTACTGGTTTCTTTTCCACTAGGGAAGCTATCTTCAGAGCAGGGGCAAGGCTTTCATATGTGTTGGTGTTTAAGCCAATATTTGGTTACTTAGGATTTTAGGAACATAACCTGTTTTGAATGTGTTGACATAATTTGTCCAGAGGAACAAATTTGAGTGACCAGATCCTAGTGGTCAGAGGAACATAATCTCTCCTGATTAACTCACTTCCATTCTGTGCTGCATCTCCCTCCCCCCCCCCCGTCCCACCCTATCTCACCTTGGCAGCCCTTGGGTAGACCAGAGTTTGGTAGATGACTATGGGGCCTGGGGTCTTCACAGAGGCGTCACTGAATGAGTACCAGTTGTGGAAGCTGCTGCTGTTCTGTGTAGGTTGGTTTTCTACTGGAGCGCTCCAGTAGGTGTAGAGTCCTTCTGTGGGCTTGGGGGGTGCTGCTGACTGCGTTCTCCCGTAGGCCTCCAGACCCATCTTGGCCTTCTCGTTGGCGTGGAAGGACAGCAAGGAGGAGCTTCTCTGGTACACCTGCTGGTTGTTGAAGCTGTGGGTGCTGAAAGTGACTTTTCTGGCAATCATCATTTCGGACTGCACAGGGTAGGGGGTTGGGTGCAGCTCCACCGAGGAGGAGCTTACCTTCTTGGGTCCCATGGGGAAGAGCTCGTGGATGGCACTGGAGAGCTCAGCGAAGTCCAGTGGAATGCAGTGTAGCGAGTGCAGCCGCAGCTGAGGGTCTGGTCTAAAGGTGCTCTGGATGCCGTCTTCAATCTGGTCCACCAGGATCTTGGCGGACTGCAGGAATGCCACTTGTCCGGTCTCCTTCAGGGCCTCCTTGGAGTAGGCGATCAGACCATCCATCTCGTTGACTTTCATAGTGGTGACAGTCACGTACTTCTCTATTTCCTTCTGCCTGGACACTTCTAGATTCTCAATCTGTTCCATGATGATCTTCTCTTTCTCCTGAAGAATACTACGCAGCTTGAGAAATCCGTTTCTGATCTCCTTCCGCTTTGCCTCCTTGTCAGCTTTAAAGCTGCTTTTTAAAATGTTGAATTCCATCAGGTCGTTATCAATTTCATATCGGACTGAAAAGACAATAAAGTTAATTACTGTAAAGAATTGATCTTCCCCAGACATCAAAGCCTTAGAAAATTGGAGCAGATTATCTTGTCCTCCAAGAAGGTAAATGGACACTTGTAGTTGAGGTTAATTCAGACCAGAATAGGTTTATAAAATAAAATTGCCTCCCTCCTCTAGTGCTTCCCTTAGATATAACCATCCTGGAATCCTCTCTCTTTTCCTCCCTCTTTCTTTCTCTCTCCCTCCCTCCCCCCTCTTCTCCCTCTTCTTTTTCCTCTTTTATCTCTTTTCTCTTCATCCCCTCCTCTCTCTCTCTCCTTCTACCTTTCCTCCCCCTTTTCTCTCCCTCACCTCTTTCTCCTCCCCCTCCTTCCCCTCCCCTTTCCTCTCCCTCCCTCAATCCTCCCTCTCCTTTCTTCCTTTCTTTTCCTTCTCTTCTTTCTGTCCTCTTTCTTTCCCTCCCTTCCCCTCCTCTCCTTCTCCCCTCTCATTCTCTCTCCCTCCTTCCTCTTTCTCTCCCCCCTCCCAGCCTCTTTCCATTGCTCTCTTGCTCTTTTGTGCTGGTACTGAGATTTGAATTCAGGGACTTGTGTTCTCCCTTTTCTTTTTTTGCTCAGGACTGGTGCTTTGCCACTTGAACCACACTTCCACTTCCAGCTTTTTGCTGGTCAGTTGGAGATGAGTCTCATGGACTTACTTCCTGGGCTAGCTTTGAACATTGATCCTCAGATCTCAGCCTCCTAAGCAGCTAAGATTACAAGCATGAACCACTAGCATCCCAGTTCATTTAATTTGTTGTTTGCAACTTGGGGAATAAATTGAGGTAATTCTCAGCATTGGCTTAATTATTATCCTTACAATTTGGGAGAAAAAGAGGGGGAAAAAAGGGCATCCAATTTTAGTGACAAAACACCTTAAAGAAGGCTCACAGAACTACAGGATACTACAGGATCAAACTCTTCATTTTCCAAATGGGAAAATGAGCCAAAAGTTCATGAAGATTAGTACTAAGATTACAGAATATGTATGTATTATGTGTCAGGTACTTTTTCTTTTTGCATCTTTATGCAGAGAAAGCATTGAATCCTTATAAGATTCGAGTGTGAGAGTTGTTACTATCCCTCCCTCTTTATAATGATTCTGGGATTTGAACTCGGCGTCTCCTGCTTGCTATGGCAGGAGCTCTACCACTTGAGTCACTTCCCTGAGTCCTCTCTGCATTTTATGAATGAGCAAACCAAGTCATAGTGAGGGCCAGTGGCTTGACTGTGAACTTGAAGACTTAGTGTTTCTGTGCTAGGGGTTGTTCCACAAGGAAGTGGCAAAGGCTCAGCCCTAATAGCTCAGCTGCCTCCCCATATCCCCATCAGTTCCTGACCTAGTAGTTAACTCTGGACAGGAATAGAAGTGGCCAGGACCTGCTTTGAACTTGGCAATGGCACTGAAGAGAGCGGCAGCCCTCTCGGAGCAGGCGTCGATGAGGCCGACCGTGTCGTGGCCGTTGTGGAAGGCGATCTTGCAGAAGGTACAGAGCAGCTGGTTGTCACTCCGGCAGTACTCGTTGATGCGGCTGGACGGGTGGTGGATGCAGACCTTCTCGTCCTGGTCCTCTGCGCTGGTGTCTACGAAGACGTGGTCCTGCATGGCCACGTCCGAGTGGAAGGCCTTGAGGCACTCGTTGCACAGGTTGAGGCGGCAGGTGATGCAGCGCTTGTAGGCGATGCGCCGGCTGCGGCACACCTGGCAGAGGATGGGCCCCGAGGAGCGGTCGAAGCGCCACTTGAGGTAGCCATGCTGCTGCATGTAGCGCTTGGTGAGGCGTCCACGCAGGTAGTTCTCGGGCAGCTGCATCGTGTGGCTGTAGGGCATGCAGTGGGAGCGGCTGCAGACCGGGCAGATGAGGATAAAGAAATTCTCGGTGATCTCAGCATGCTTCTGCAGGTGTCGCAGGCACTTCTCACACAGGCTGTGGTTGCAGGGTAGCATGAAGGAATGCAGGCGCAGCCGGTGGCACTGGGGGCAGGTGAGATGGTCTGTCAGGTGGCAGTTGGCTGGTATCGACTTCACTTCATCCACCTGGGTGTCACTGCTTCCCACACGCAGGGCCATCTTAGAGCTGAAGGAGAAGTACAGACAGGGCTTCAGGGGCCAAGCTTAGCTGTACCCTTCTTATTTCTCTCTCTCGGTCTCTCTCTCGTCAGTATCAGGGCTTGAACTCAGGGACTGGGTATTGTCCCTTAAGGTTTTTTTTTTTTTTTTTTCTCAAGGCTAGTTAGTGTTCTACCCACTTGAGCCACATCTCCACTTCCAGCTTTTTGGTGGTTAATTGAAGATAAAAGTCTCATGAACTTTTTGCTCAGGTTGCTTCAAACTGATCCTGAGATATTAATCTTCGGAGTAGCTAGTATTATAGGCATGAGCCATCTGTGTCTGGCTGTTTCTCATCTTTTAAAGAACTCTTACTCACTGTGAGGCAGCTCAGCTGGGAGGTGTGGAGCTGGGGTCCCTGGCTTCTTCATCTTTTTCTTGGGTGACCTCAAATAAGGCAGCTAACCTCTGCCTGTTTCCTTATGCAAGTGGTAATCTAAGCTATAGTGGGTTTTTTTTTTGAGGACATTGACATTTATGAATTTAATTTTGTATTTGTGTTGGTACAAGGGCTCGAATTCAGGACCTGGGCACTGCTTTTTCACTCAAAGCTGGTACTCTGTCACTTAAGCCACAGATCTACTTCTGGCCTTTTGCTATTTAATTGGAGGTAAGAGTCGTATGGATTTTTTTTTTTTCTTCCTGGGCTGGCTTCAAATGCAATCCTAAGATTTCAGCCTCCTGGTGAGCTAGGCATATAGGCATGAGTCACTGTTGCCTGGCTGACGTTTATATTTTAATACCTGCAAGGACTGAATGCAGTTACAAGCTGTACAACTGCTTGCTCCTGCTATTTTTTTGAGCCAGAATAAAGAAGTGGAAGGGCCTGGACCTGTCAGCTAGGCCTAGGCATTCTGTTGGACATCAATATCATCCCAGAACACCAGCACTGGACAAGACCACCTTGGCTGTGATGGATCTGAGCAGAAGCAAGACTGGTGGATAATGTTGGAACTCAGCCAAGAACAGGGTTCAAACTACAAAAATGGCCAAACGTCTTCCTGATCTGAGTTAATGCAAATTATTACCCCCTGTCTCCCACAGTTGTAGATTTACACTCATGCTCTTTTGCATGCTCTTCTACACACAATTTATTAAGATAACCAATAGATTTTTCCCTCATGGCTTTGCTTACTGTCAGTCTCAATTCTCTTATAACTTCCTGCTGCCCTCTTAGCAAGATACCTCACACTGGCCCCTCAGCTAGGTTCCTAAATATTGGAGTGTATCAGTAAACTTAGTCTTGTCCAGTTATACCTATGATCTTTGCTGGGCTGTACCTGAGGACACTATTATTATTATTGTTGTTGTTGTTGTACACAGCATAGAATGTAGTGGAGAGTGGCTTAGCTTCCTTTTGGGGATTCTGGGTCATCAACACCTGAGCTAGATCTGATTGGTAAGGCTCTGGCCTCTAGTGAAGGTGGCCTAGCATGGAGTGTGCACCACTGTAGAGCTGTACCTTTGAGAAGAGGTTAAAAAATTTAATCTCTGTCACCCTCAATTTCCTCATCTATAAGCCAAAGTTCACAATATGACTGGCTACATGAAGATTCCAAAAGTGTAAGTGAGGTAAGTGTTTACCGGCCAGTGCATAGCAAGCCTTCACAGCAAACGGAGGCCACGCTAACCCATCCTTCTCTGCTATGAGCTGGGCAGTGTCCATGGTAGAGGAGCAAAGCCAGGGAGAGGATGATGATGGTCAAGCCCACAAATCCTGAGCTTCTACAGTCATGTCTCTAAATTTACCTAATGCCTGAGGCTCATTTCATCTAATCAATTGTAAGGGAACCATGAAGGGAAAGAATACTTGTAAAATTGAAGATTCATGTATGGTCTAAGAAGTCATAACAGGAGCGAAAGGAGTTTGTGAGAACAAATGAATTGGGTGCTGGAATGGATGCATAAGTGATACACAATTTGTATCTGTTCCTAGTCTCCCTCCTCCCCTGCTCCCTCCCCGCTCTGCCCCGGCTTTTCCTGAGCCATTCTGGCCCCGTGTAGGCTCCTGGCACTTACGAGGTCTGGATGCTCCGGAGCCGACCCTTGCGGAAGGTGATGGTGGCATTCCTGCAGCAGCGGCTCTCATAATAGTAGCACTTGATGTTGCTGCTGGCTGTGCAGCAGTACTTGCAGTTGGGGTCATTGGCCCAGGAACAGCAACACCAGTGGCAATTGGGGTTTTCGGCGCAGGTACAGTGGCAGCACTGGCAGTTGCGCTCATCCTTGTAAGGGCAAGGGAAGAAGGTACAGTTCCGCTCCGAGGTGAAGAAGAACTTGCAGCAGAGACAGGAGCATAACTGAGGACAGCATCTCTCCCATGTACAGCATGGGGAGCAAACACACATAGCGGTCTCCATGGTGCCTACATGGCAGCCAGCCACTCCCCAGAGCTGACGGACTGTCCTCTACCACGTCTCCAGTGCAGCGGTCTCCTTTCTCTGGGCGAGGCCCGGCCGCTGGGGGTTGTTGGAGGTTGGCTGCGTATGAGGAAAGCCCCTGGGCTGGCAGTGGCTCATTTCAGCCTGAGGACCTTCGCTTATGTCACAATCCCTTGCTCTCTGCCATTTCTCACCAGGCTGGATAGATGAGAGGAGGACACCAGGGGTGGTGATGGCAGGTGGGCTGAGGGAGGTGGGAGGGCTCAGCTGTCAAGTTGTCGTCCTTCCGAGTTAGGCAGTAGGTGTGTTTCCGAAGCTAACTCTCCTTGTTCGGTGCTTCTCGGTTGCTATTTTGCCAAGTTGACTTCAGTCTTGGGTATGATTAATTAGAAAAATAGAATGACATGATCCCCCCCCCAACCTTTTGGGTGCTTTTGTTAATATTATTTTTATTTAATATTAATATTATTAATAGAACTCTTGGATGGGCCAAGCCATTTGTCAAAACGATGCCCAGCTTAAACACAAGATAAAAGGAGAGGTGTGATTGGTTTCCTTTCCAATGCTGGCTTGTCAATCAGGAATCGCTGGTCATACCATCTCCTCATAGGGGACCTGGGGCCCTCAAGAACTGGGGATTTCTCTTGAAGTTAGGATTGCCAGTCCCTTGTCCCCAAGGACAGTGCTTGCTTACCTTGTAGCTGTGGTTTTTGGTGTGCTCAACCCTGTTCCAGGAATTGAGGGTTGGGGTTGTGGACTGTTTTCCTACTTTCTCTGAATTGGTTTTATGTTTCTTTTTAATTTTTATCTGTCCTGCAACTTCTTACTTGATCCCCAAATATTCTTTCCTTTTCTCCTCAGAAAATAGCCTCTTTTTCATTACTTGGACTCTCTTTAGATTCACAAAGTGCCCTGGATGAAGTTTTTAATCTGCCATCTGATTCCAGAGGTCCTAAGCATATTTTATTACCCATTATTCAACTTCCTTTTAGTCTTCTTTCTTCTTACCCTCTGTGTTAGACGTTCATTGCCATCATAAAATTCCCAAGAGAAATAACTTAAAGGGAGGGAAGATACATTTTGATTCATGCTTTCAGAGGCTTCAGTCCATCAACGTAGGGAAGGATGGAAGATCATATGCCAGACAGACAGCCAGACATAATGTCGACCGACCTTCAGTTTTCCTCTTTTATTCCTTTGACCCCCACCCTGTGGGACGTTGCAGGCCACCTTTAGGGAGACATCCCCCTTACATTGGGTAGTATATGAGCATATGTCACTATATTAACTGAAATACGGTAGATTTGAGGGAGATCTCAAATAGTGTAATGTATTAGTTAACTATCTGAAAGTTCCCTGTCAACTCTTCCAACTGATTCTCAAGATGGAATGAAACATGCAAGTTCTAGAAACATCTGTATTATATGCTACCATTCAATTCAGGAAAGGTCTTAGGTCTTGGGTTTATATTTCATATAATATGGAAAGATCAATCCAAAGCTTAGATTTGGTTTTATATGAGAGAGAGGACAGGACCAGAATAGAAGGGCCTGTATACCATCTTTTTTTTTTTTTTTGGTTGTTGTTGTAGGTCTTGAACTCTGGGCCTGGGCGCTGTCCCTCAGCTCTTCAGTTCAAGGAGAGCGCTCTACCACTTGAGCCACAGCACCACTTCTGGTTTTCTTGTGGTTTATTGGAGATAAGAGTCTCACAGAATTTCTTGCTCTGGCTGGCTTTGAACAAGAATCCTCGGATCTCAGCCTCCTGAGTAGCTAGGATTACAGGCGTGAGCCACCGGCGCCTGGCCATACATTGTATTTTAGCTGGAAAAAAACCCCCAAGTATTCCTATCTGACCCAGTGATTATAACTTAGTAGTAATGCTTTATTTTCAGACTGTAGCTTCTGAGTATCACTAGAATGAAATGAGGCTATTGCTCATTCTGAGTAGATACAAGGTAAACATGGGTTTAGTTCTGCATTTACAACACTCAGCATTCTCCCCATTGGGACCAATTTAGTTTTACTGGAGGATATCGGACAGGAAGGCCAGTATGTCAGCAGGGGAGGGTCAGTGTGGCAGCTCGCAGGGGAAGGGGTGAGATCCCATGTGGAGGTGCACTGAAAGATGTGCCTGTGTACCTCGGTGGGACTGAGGCCCTCGGTCCTCTGGTTGCCTGGAGTGTTGCCTGCTCACACCGCCCAGCTGAATCTTTCTTTGGGATCGCTTTCTCTTCTTTCACCCGTGTCCAAAACGATGCTACTATTCAGAGAACAGCCCTGTCTCAATGTGGACAGCTCAGCCACCAAAGAAATCCTGTTAAGCCGTCTGGGGCTCAAATCTTCAATTTTATTACAGCTTAGTTCCTTCGTCCCTTACCTTCTGCGCTGTCCTTTTGGCCTCACTTCCCAAGAGGACTACTGAAATAAGTCTCTTGGGTATAAATCTCTGCTCGTCTGTTCCTCATTAGAGGCTGGCTTAAGAGAATGGGTTAGAGGTCACCCGGCCTTTAAGCCGCATTCCACATATGAACCAGCATCTTTATTCCATCCCGTGGGAATAGCCTCCAGGGCTCCTGGCACTGGGCACACATGCATGCAGAGAAGCTCAAACTGGATTCCCACTAGATACGTATATATTCACTCCTAGATCAGGTGTAGTTGAATTATTAGAGGTCATTTTTTTTTAACCACAGTGTTGTCTGGTAACCTAGCTGGCATCCCACCCTTATTAGTTTCCAGGGGACCAGAGATAGAGAGTTAACCTCAAGTCATCTTTCCATAGTGAAAGACAGTTTGTTAATTAATTCATTAACATTAAAAATCTCATATGCAAGGGGGGGAAGGGGCAGACAGATGAAGAGGGCTGAGGGAGAGAGCAGTCAAGAATTCAGTGTATATCCTACAGGATTAAGAGGAGTGAGGGAAGGGGTGGGGAGGGAAAGCACAGGGTGAGCGTTGAAAGGGGGACATTGATCAAGATGCGTTGCATTCATAAACTGCCTTGTTACCTGGCAACTCCATGTTTAAAAAGAAAAACTCCAAAAAAATCCATGAGTTCAGAAAGATAACAGAAACAATACACGCAAAAAAAATTCCAACAGCTCTCAGTTGGAGGAAACTAGAAAATGAATTTATTATTTTGAAATCTGCCAACTGAAGGGAAAAGATTATGTATGGAAACTTTCTTCTCCATACCTAAGGATAATGAATGAGTGGATAAAGAGATTTTTCCTCTGTACAGAAACGTTCCAGTTAATAAATGAAGATGGACAGAATTAAGTTACTATCCTTGGGCAGTATCTGCTGATGAGATGAATTTAGGGCTTAATCATCAATGACTATTGATAGCACCCTTGAGAGAGACAGCTAGACACCCTGTGTTAACCCTCCCCCCGCCCTCCCCCTGGAAGTACACAGCAGAACTTAATGCATTCTTGCAGATCATCTGTTCAGACTTCTAGATCTGAGCACTAATTTTCAGGGACAGAGGCCTGGATTTTTTTTGGGCGGGGGGTCTGGTCGTGGGGCCTGAACTCTGGACCTGGGCGCTGTTCCTCAGCTCTTCAGCTCAAGGCTAGTGCTCTACCACTTGAGCCATAGTGTCACTTCGGGCTTTTTTCTTTTTTTGCTTCTGTGGTGCTGGGGAATTGAACCCAGGGCCTCATGCATGCAAGGCAAGTGCTCTACCACTGAGCTACCTTCCCAACCCATGGACTTTGTTAAATGGTACTGTCATGGTGTGATTTCCATAACAGATTCAATAATGTCAGTAATGAGACTCCCATCTGAAAAAGTAGGCCAGTTAGGGAGGCACATGCCAGTAAACCCAGCTACATAGATGGCAGAGCTGGAGCACTAGTGAGGCTTACTCAGCACAGCTAGGTCTAGAGTAGCAGTGACCGTGTTCCAGGTGCTCCGGGATCCTAACTTTCCCATTACAGCCCCCTGAAAGGCAGATGTGATCTCAGATAAGACTAAGATAAAGAGTGCCATAATACAGCTGTTGAAATAAGGGTAGTGGGGAAGTGTGTGCTGAAGACATTTGATGTGACATTTACCGACTCTGGGAGTTAGGTTTACAAGCCCTGCCACATTTAAGAGGCTTTTAAACTCTCTAATTGCTCATTTATCTGATGCTACCAAAATAGTCCCTGCAGATATAGGCTGACAGGTAAATAGCTCATTGAGAATTTATTTAAAATGATAAACTAACACAACATGTCTCCTCTTGAGAGAATTATCAAAAAGCATGGAATTGCACCACAGTTGGTAACAATATTTTGCCTGCAACCTCCTCATTTTCTTGGGGGTAGGGAAATGATTTCATTCCTTGGCCCATGAGTTACTACCCTCCAAGTCAACTTGGCAGGTTCTACAAGGACCAAGTCGACCAGAATAATTGAGCTAAGGGTATAGAAGTCAGTTTTGGCATTGGCCGAAACTGGTGAGAGTCCTCTTTTGCTCCTTAGATGCTGAAGCTCTAAATGAGTAAATGCTTATACTCTCTGTGTCTCAGATTCCTTTTTAGGACAGTGGGAAATGTAGTATGGTCTGTCATGTTGGATGATGGGTGGGGGAGTTGGTGGGACTGTATGTATATATAGTGTCCTGGCTTTGTCCTGGGAGCTAAATAATGGTGATCTTCATCATCATAAAGAGAGACAGAATAGAGTGCTTACTGCTTTGTTCTCCAGGAATCATCCTCTGATCACTGATACTAGCACACTACAGTTTGGAGGCACAGGGCTGTGGCTTTTGATTGCAAGGCTGGCTTTAAGTTTCAGTCTGGTTACTAATTAGCTGTGCAGTTTTGGATGAATCACTTCATTCCTCAAAGTTGCTGCTTGCTCACCTGTGAAATAGGGAGAATGATGATAAAGAGTGCAGACTTTATGGGTCATTTTTACATACAAATGAGCTGTTGGTGAGTCCCCATACAATGCCTGGCGTTTGACTAAAATTATTACTGTGTTTTTTTCCAGAGACTGCCATGGAGATACAA